TAAGCTGTCATAAATGTACCAACTGAATATTGGAAAATTGCATATCACATCCTACTTCGTTAGCTGCATTTGAACTCGCCCATAATAATTCATGAACCCCTCCTCGTAGCTCGCCCGGGCGTTGTGCATAGCAGACCCAACAGTCTCAGCCTGAGGATCGTTGCATTATTGGAAAGATGCCGATGCTGCTACATAGCACTTTGGCTACAGGGTTTCGGGCTTTAGGTTTAAAGGTTTAGGGCGAGGGCTTTGTCGGCTTTATGGAAGTTCAACATGACATAAATTTATGACAAGTTTCGCCATTGGATACCCTTTCCAGAATGTTCTGCAATAGCCCCTTGGCAGTATCGCCATCATCCTCATCGTCTGAGCCTGGCATGGGTCGGAGTAGGCTATCATATGCTAGCAGGATTCCAAGAGAAGCTAGCTTCGCACTTGCAGCTTAGAGTGTTTTTGGACGGCGGCGAACGACCCCTCTGCAATGCACATGGCACTCAACAGGGCCTATGGAGCAAATGCACTAGGCTGCAAAATGCCTCTCACCCCCACACACACCTGAATCGAAACAATCAGCAGATGCATGTCTTGTAGTTTTTACCGGATAGGAATTCTTTCCGTCCAAGGTGTGTGTGCTTCCACAGCGACAAGTGCAGCACGCAGATGCCCCCTGCCCCTGGCTTCGAATCCTATATGACGGCCGGGCCCTGGCATCTACTGGGTTTGGGATATTTATTATAGTCTTCGAAATTGGGGCTGTTCCAAACGGAGTGTTATTAGGGTTTGAGGGTTTAGGGTTTTAGGGTTAGGGTTTAGGGTTTTAGGCTTTAGGGTTTTAGGGCAATTATTAGGGTTTAGGGTTTTAGGGTTTAGGGTTTAGGGTGTAGGCTCGGAGTTGGAACAAGTTCATGATCAGGGATCTCGAGAGTACAAGCTAATGGGTTAAATATATATAGTAAGCCTCAACAGGCTGTATCTGCTACCAGAGCTGGCTGAACCCTCATCACCATCTCCTAATACAACTTAAGCAGTTAATTAGGGTTTTAGGGTTTAGGGTTTTATTAGTGCTTGTCGGGTTTAGGAATTCAGGGTTTATATATAGGGATTAGGGATTGGAGGTTTTGGAACCAGAAATTAGGTCGTTTGCGGCTTCAGCTGCAAGTAGAGAATCAAGTGGCGCAGCCAGGTTTGTTGCAGGCACATGTGCATGCGAAAGCAGACATGATCTACAGGCCAAGGTTGTCCCTGGCCCATCTTTAAACAAAAGTCGGCACCCAAGTGAGGCAACACCATGCCAAGAGATCAAGGCCACAGGTCTAGATTCGAAGTATGCACAAATTAGAACCTATACAGCTAGGCATATCGTATACGAGGGTATCAGTGAGCCTCTTACTTGGATTTGCGCTCCTTGCCACCTTTGGTGCCTTTGGTACGAGAATCAAAATCCTTCTGGATGGTATCATACTTCGCCACAGCTTCATGCACTTTGGTGGTTGCATCCACCATCATGCCAGCCTGGCAGGGAACAAGAAAAAATGGCTTGGGATTTCGAATCGAATGGTTTTAAACCTTCTAAAGCTTGGAATAAGAACCTGAGCAGAGGGTTGCAATTGTTGTCAGATGGGTGGTGTCTTAAAGCCCAGAGCCGTAAAATACAAAACCCCTAGATACAATAATAAACCCATATTATAATTTATAATAAGTCATATTATACACCTGTGCACA